GTTTAGGGTTTAGGGTATGCATGTCCCCAGTGCATGAGCTGGCACGCCAGATTTTCCCCCACAGCTTTGACGCAATTGCTGGCTCAAGCACGGAAGATGCGTTACCAAGGACAAGACTAAACCCCTACATATTTCCATTATTCCCCATATATCCCATAATCCCCATACGTCCCCTATATAATCCCCAATTAATGACTGCACATGTGTGACTGTCCGTTCATCCTCAGAAGCTCTGCTCACCGGTAGCCCATCCAGCCAGACACAAGACCATGTTGCTGGCTCTTAGTGTACGCCACAACAGCTAAAGATGTGCGCAGATTCGATAGTGTCTAACGACTGGCCAATCAAAGTAGTTGCACATGTGATTCCTTACTGCAGCCCCTGCCTCACATGCTACTGAAGTCCTCAGCCTAAACCATAAATTTAGGGCAAAGGTAAAGGGGGCTATATGATCCCCTATATAACTCCCTCTTGTTTTTTCTGTCAACGATGCCTGGTGCCATGGATTTTGGAGAGCAGGGCACTCCCATGAAGCCTGATGGGTATGACATCAATGCCATCTACAACATGATGAAGGCAATCACATGAGCTCAGCATCTCAATTAAGCAGCAATTCAAACAAAGCAGAAAATCATCAATACTGCTAAGGGATAGACAACGGGATTGCAACCGAAAACACGACCCGTGGTGACCAGACATCCTCTAGCTTCAAGCGAATCCCTTTCTTCGGAAGGTTAGCTCCTTCATCTGTAGTTTATAGCACCAACCAGAAATCCATAAGAAACCCCAAAGAGGATTTGGTAGTTTTTCTGCATTGGGGGATCCCAAAATAGAACCCCAAACATACTGGTCCTTATTCTAGGGACCCCAACGAAGGTACCGCTAAACTTCGGGAAGCTCCAATTTACACACAGCACTTTGGGCACCGCACTCCAAGGGATTTTAGGGGTCCCCCATTAATCTCCTCCCCTTACGTAATATTCCAGTTACCCAGCCTGCTATATTAGGTATTCCCACTGTGGTATGCTTTAATATAGAAAAGAAATTGTTAGCGTCATATTGGGGGGTAGTATTAGGTGGATGGACTAAGGACTAAGGCTAACAGTGGGGTCATTTTGTACTTCCCAGTTTTGAGACCCCTGAACCCTAAGCCCTAAA